AACAAAATTACTGCTAAGAAAGTCTGATTATCCTCATTTCATATACATGGAAATAGAGTCTCCAAGAGAACAAATTATTTTCTTCAGGTTATAACTCTGAGGTGGTAGGGGTTATATAGGTTGGTAGATACACATGTATCTATGTATATACATATGTTATATCTTGCTATAAATAATGAGGAGGAATTAACTATTACAATACTTTTTTAAAAGCTTTCAAAATATTACAGATCTACAATCTAAAACTATGGCGTACTTTTATGCAATCAAAAGTAGTAAATCATAGAGCTTACATAAATAGTACAACTTATACGATATTCTGGCTCAGGGTCCTATTTTCAGAAGCACTAGGCTGCTTTATTCAATAGTCTATATTATATATTCTGGGTTCATAGCATAATAAAATTAATCACTATTCCATTATAAAAAAACAATAGACATGTATTTAATATGCATAAAAGTATTTTGCCTTAGGTAATCATACGATCTCATATTGTATCCTTAATGAATATGAAGAAAAAACATTGGCGGGAAGAATTTGCCATAAATGGCAACTGACATGGTAATCAGCCTCACAGCTCACATTGTCTTTTATTTTCAACAATCTTCTCAAACGCTGACCATCTTTCTGGCACAGATGTCTCTTATATAACTTAATCCCCGCACAAGCAAATCATACAGCTCAGGACATCAACACTAAAATGATTCCTTCTGCCTGAGCAATAGCCTCATCACAAATAGGGGTGTCACTATGGCACATGCCATGGATGCCTCTGATAGATTTTCCTGAAAACAAGTGCATCCCACAGATAAGAGAGGCTCTGAGGTACAGTGATACCAAGAGCTTTACAGCCTGAGGAACACCCCATTGTTGTCGTTATCTCAAGCACACATCTGTGACCTTGTCAACAAGAAAGGCACCTCCTCTGTTTAGCCCAGGACAAAAAAATATGCCAGATTTTAACTGAAACCCCCTTAAAGCAAAAAGGGGCCATACAGTAACATTGTAACAAAAGTGAAATCTGTAATTTTATGCATTAATTAAAAGGTTCTGGCAGTGGAATAAAGCTCACTAAATCACTGTAAATCATTAAACAACTGGTTTAGTAGTCCATGAAGACCTAAAACAGCTTTCTACAGCAAAGCAATAAAAATGATGTAATCCGCTGTTAACTAGTCTCAATTTAAGTATCAAGCAGGGAGTCTAAACTTCTTCCCATTTTGCAGCCTTCAGCTGCTTTCTTGTTATTTATGACACCTCTAAAGACTGTAAAGTACTATCGTGCATATTATATTACCTACCATCAGGTGCTTGAAAATGTGGTTTTGCATTTCTACTCAATCTCTGGTTACTTATTAATAGCCAATATTTATTGGCTGCCTACTTTGTGCTAAATAATAGATATGCATAATTTAATGTAAGTCTCACAAGACCCTATGGGGTAGGTATGATTACTGCCTATGTTAAATCTCTAGAAACTGAGGTTTAGAGGTGAAGAATCTTGCCAGAAGTCTCATACATACAATAAATGGCAGCATCTGAACATGAATCTAATTTTCTCTGGCTCCAGAACCCACATTCCACATAATCAGATGAGTTGGTTAGTTAAACCTTCTGCATTGATTGCAAAACACTCCGGAGACTCTGTTTTCTATTAAATTCTTTTTTTTTTTTTTGTCAAATTCTTACGTAATGGCTATCAGCTACATTCGGAAGCCACACAAATAAACCAAATAAATACAGGTAATTCAGTTTCCTAAAATCATTTGGATCAGGGTTTCTCAACCTCAGACCTGTTGACATTTTGGACTAGACAGCTCTTCATTTGAGGGGACTGCCATCCTGTGCACTGCAGGATGTTCGACAGCTTTCCTGGTCTGCAGGTGCCAACAGCACACATCTCCTCCAGTTGTGATGAATAAAGTGTCCCCAGACACTGTCAAATGTTCCCTGCAGGTCAAAGTCATTCCCAGTTGAAAACTGCTGATTTATATGAAACCCATCCTGGCAAGGTGTACATAATCATCAAAAAAAGGAAGACAACTAAGAGCCATTGGATGTGTCAGCCCCACAAAGCCTTTTTCTGAAATGTCCTGATAATTTTAAAGAGAGTAGTTTGGAATAGACTTGCCTTATTCCTTCTTTACATTGTAACTTGTTTCTGGCTGCACTATCTTGTTCTGAAGCTTGCAATTTCAACTTGAGAAATTCGATTAAACTGTGAGAGTCAGTGATGATACTGCCTTACATTAAATAAGCAGAGTTCTGAGTATTCACAAATTACAAAAAAAAATGAATGTGAGAAGAGTATCCCATGATACACTTCACTGCTTCAAAGGCTCTGTGAAATACAACATTCATTATAATTTTAAAGATAAAGAATAATAATTTTATATAGTAATTTATATACTGGTTTTTCAAAATCTCATTTTTATTTTTAGAAAAATAATATAGTATTTTATTATTTACCTTGCTTGTAGGTCTTTAAAGGGTTCTTCTACATTACTTGCATTATATAATACTTTGTATTAGAACAAATTGGTTTTTTAAAAATATTTTTCAATTATTCTTTTGCAAGATATTATGAATGTAAATGGGCTGCATTCTTATTGCAGTGTCCACTAGTGCCATTATGATTATGAACTTTTAATTTTCCTTAGAACATTTAGGATCAAAAGTTTAAAGTCAGTGGCCTCTACCTAGAGTTGTGAAAACCAATCACTGGAGAATTATTCTTAGGTCTGGTCGCTTTACAAGACCAACAGAATCACATCAATATAAAATACATTTTTTTGCATCTAACTCTTTCTTTTAAACTTCCTGAATAGTTTGACTAAAATAAGAGAAGATATTTGAAACAGTAATTATATACCAACCATAAAGTTGTGGAGAAGATTAAATTCAATAACAAAGGCCTGGATGTGATTCATAGTCATAAAGACCAGTTCTGTACTGTTCACTCAGAGTCTGGCACTTTACTTATACTTGTGTAATTAATTCCCCATAATTACTCAGTGAGGCTAATAGTGTTACAACCTGTTTCCAACTTTAAAAATGAAGAGAGGCAGAGCAATGTTAAGTAATTTGCCCAAGGTCACATAGCTAATAAGCCACAGAGCTGGGGTTCAAACTCAGGAAATCCTGGGCTAGGGTCTGTACCCTCAACCACATCACCACTCCCTGGAAAACACAGTGAAACAATTCCATGGTGTTCAGCCACACCATAAATTAAAGTTACCTAATATAATGAAAAAAGGGTAAGTGTGAGTTCCAGACAAATCAGACATGTGTTTGTGTGTGTGTATAATGTTTCCATTTCCTTGTTACATGACAATGAAAGAAAAAACCCTCAATTTTAACAACAGAAAAATCATTGCCTTGTGTGACTGTTATGAAGATTAAATAACAAATCTAGTGCTTGGCATTGTGCCTGATGTGCTCAATAAATGATAGTTATTAGGGCAGAGATGAGCCTGCATCAGGACTTTGGCTTGGCTTCCCTCCTCACTGAAGGTACATACAATTTGAACAAGACTGGAACTAGTAAAATCTAGGTATTTTTCTCCTGTTTGAGAATTTAAAGAAAATGAAAGCAAGCTTGTGGCATAACTTTTTTTTTATAACTATGCTTTAAAAGTACATTTTTAATCAACCAAGATAAAGAAATATCAAGAAAATGTGTTCTCAAAAAAAAAAAAGAAAAAAAAGAAAATGTGTTCTTGGTTAGAAATAGTTAAACATGACAAATCAAAATTTAAAATTTATTTTCTTGGTTACACAAGCACATTGTAAACTTAAAAAAATAATTTGGATACTCCTATATTCTTCTATGCTCCAAACTCCACACAACAAAAATGGTGACTAAATGATGCCTCAGCACAAGTATTAACATTTCTCTGAATATTAAAAAAATATATATATTTCTCAATTGTAGGATGTTCCTGCTTTGTAGCAATACACCTCCAGTTTATCCAAACTTCAAACTGATCAGCTTTAGCATATATCAGCACATACCAAAATGTAGTCTTCACTATTTTATGAAGTTAGCTTAAGCTCATCTATCTACTAAAGTAACACAGCAAAAACTAAAGGGAGGAATATTTGGATATGTCTTCATCCCATGAGGCTAGAAAGCCCAGGAGAAAACAGTACCCAAAAAAGAGCAATATTTTTCATGATTAACTTTACCTCATATTTTTCAACCTGTAATTTCACCTACCTTTCATCGACATTTTATTTAGTTTTTCTATACAAAATGCTCTGACAATTCCATAAAAGACAATCTAATACGACTCCTATAAAATCATCAACATATTTGGAAGAAACGTAAGGAAATCAGAATTAGTAAAATCCTTTAGTCATGAAAGTAAACATGTTTAAAAAGATGAATTATTGAATTAGGGAACATAAGAATGTCAACAAGCAGAGAGAAAACTGAAAATATTATGTACTTACTCAAACATCCCCAAAGTCTGTACATTTTGTACTGGTTGAACACACCACCTAGGAGTGAATTTTTCAGTTTTCACCTTGGCATATGTTATCATGTCCTTAACGTGTACTATGATGTGATGGTAGAGGCTTGTGTCTATCCACAAAAATAAACTGAAGAACTGGGAAAGTACTTGGATAGTCAAATACCACACCTCTCCCTCAAATAATATCAATATGTCATTTAATAAACACTAAGGAGTTTGACTTCTTTCTGAGAACAGCCTACAGCCAAAGTATTACCATGGGATAGCAGAGACCTAGGGGTGCAATAAAAATATATGTATTTACATGCAATATAATCTGTATGTGCAGTCGAACTGTAATAATTCTACAAAATAAAACTGAAAAAGGGAACAAAACGAAAAATAACTTAGATTACATATTTTGTCAAGCAGAATCTAAATGACCAGGGAAAGCTCTTAAAGAAGCAGTTAAGCAGTTATGGAGAACGTACTATATTCTACCTACATTCCTCAAAAAAAAAACAAAAAAAAAAAACCCAAACCTTGTAGGATCTGTCCGGAGTGCTGAAAAGATTTCCTTGGAGAAGGCTTTGTGGGATGTGAACTAACCTGATGAGTTCAGGAAGCAGTATTTTCAAGTCCCAACCAAAGATCCTTTTAAACAGAAATCGGAAATCGATGTCCATAAAGGACAAAAACAGTCACAACTGATTCTTAAATGTATAATTGCACTGATATAAGAGAGAAATTCAAGGAGAAAATGCCCTGGGCTCCATGAAGGAAATGAGGAGCATGGAGCACACCTAACAAGAGGTAGCATATCTGAACACTCCAAAACTCCAGAGTCTAGAATGTTGTATAACTAAGAGGATTCTACAGAAAACCTCAGCTTAGCCCTGCAGCGGGTGGGTGGAAGGGAAGGGGCTGCACACAGCACAAGGCAATGCTCCCTTGGCTACCTCGAAAGTCCAGCGGTCAGCATTAAGGATACAGATTAGCTCTAGCTCAGTCTCTAGGGGCTTAGAACAGTGGAACAATATGTAGGGAACGAAGAAGGTGGAAGGAAGCCGCTGCCTTCCCACTGGTCTGTGTCAGTTTCTTAGCGGAAAGTAAAGTGTGGGAGAATCTATCTGCCTGGCTACTCAAGCTCTCAATTCAGCTGAGGCAGCACAAAGATAGTGCCTAAAAAAGCACAAGCGCTTGTTAACCTCTCCTCGATTTCCCTTCCCCACAGCACCTGCTCCTGAGGGAAGCGGGGGCACTTGGGAATCCAGCATCAGTTCCAGAGCCCTCCGGGCAGACTCTTCATTTCCCTCTGCGAGGTCCCAAGTGCAGGATGGGCTCTGGTCACCGGCTAGCTCGTGGGCCTGCCCCGGGTTCTTTCCCCAAGTCGCTAGACCTGGGCTCCCACCTCGGCATGCCGCTCGCGCTGCCGCTCCGGGGTAACTAGCAGGCTTTGTGTCCGAAGGGAAAGCTACATCCATGGGAGAGGAAAGAGCGGCCGGGCGCAGACGGGTTCAGAAAGAGGCACGCTAGCCTGAGTGAAAGCGCTTGCTTTCAGCACCACCCGCTGTCCCCCCTCTTCCTGCAGCAGGCGCCTGGGTCTCGGCAGCTAACCGATCTATTAGGGAGCGATTCGCCTTCCTGTTCCTCTCCATCTTCGCATCGCTGAATTCCGAGCCCTCCGGTGGTTCTGGGGAGCCCAGTCTGCATTCTTAACACACGCACCTGGCCTTAGGGAGCGGGAACTAGTATCCGAAGGCATGCAGAATCCCTTTCTTAACCCTTGCAGCCATTCCTTCCTTTGCCCCATTGCTCCATTGCTCCGTTGCTCTCCCCCTTTCTCCCCAACAGGTTTAACTGAAGCCATCGCCAAATGGAGCAGACTTCAACCTTGAGGTTCTGGCCATCCCCGCTCCACCCTCGTCTGCCTCCCCCAAACCAAACTGTCAGCTACCCAGCAAGCTGATACAGCCTTCCCCGGGCACAGGGACACTTGGGCACGCAGACACTTAGCAAGCTTACCACCCTGTTGGCCGTGCACCGGGCAGTGAGACGCAGTCTAGCTAGCCCCCCATAAAGTTGGGCCGCGCCGGTCAGTGGGGCAGAGCCGGCCTCTCCAGTCCCGGGCTCCCCTCAAAGATGATCTTAAGCTCATCTCCTGCGCTCAGTGCGTGAAGAACAGCAGAGCTGAGGGCGGCGTGTGCAGCAATCTCCCTGCTACTGAGAAAGGGGGGAAGGGGAGAGCGCGGAGGAGGGAGGGGTGGTAGTTTGTATTTATAGAGAACAGAGTTCTCAGCGCAACTTTTTGGTGCCACCAAGTGGCACAGTGAGTTCCTTTAGGAACACAGACTTCAGGTCGAATCTGGATGGGTAAACCAGCTCCACAGCCAGATGCTCACATGGTGGGGGCGCTGGGGGGCAACCCTAGGACTTGAGTTTTCTCATGTGCACTTTCATATCTCAGTGCCTGGGATGCAGATCCTTAAATTCTAAGAATGGGCTTGTATTGAGGGGGAATGTGCACCTGTGCCCTCTTCAGACAAGTGGCAGAGGTGTCAAGGACACTGGGCAGATGCCAGTAGCCTTTGAGGAGTCTAGAAACCCTTGTCTGAGGAAGACTATCTGTTCCCTTCTCTCTCCTAACCCTTCTGCCCAGACTACACTATTCTCAAATCTCACTCTTAAACCGTCCTGCCATCCTGAGTGCCCAACCTTTAAAGTGTGATGCCGTTCATTTTCCTTGTGCTAAAATCAATTCCCAATTATTTCCCAAACCCTTATTCAAAGAATATCACAGCCTGCCACCAAGCCTCCTTTTTAAATTGCCACTTTTAAAAAAAATGTGACTTTAGGTTCTGTGGATCCGAACCTCTCCAAACAGCACTCAGAAGTCCGGGTTCTCTTGGATCTCGGCTAGGTGTCTGGTTGTCCTTCTCACCCATTTCTACAGACCTCTCAGCATGCGTTACACCAACAGCATGGCCAGGAGCTTGCAAATACATTTGACACTCTGAGGTAGAACGCCCTGAAGCTTTCTCTATCCAAATATTCTGGGCGCTCTTCCATTCTTGTATGTAGATCCTTAGACCCATACAATCATAGACAGACCCTGCAACTGCACGGGACCTTAGTGACCCAAAACACAGAATAGCCTCCACATTTTGCAGGTGGAGAAACTGAGTACACAAAGCTTAAGGGACTTGTTCAAGGTCACACATTTTCCTAGAGACCAGTCCAGCGACTAGCAGGGGTGGGACTAAATGAACACGGTGATGCCAAACCTGACTTCCAGGCTCCTGCTCCTTCCACCACCCCCGCACAGCCCATTCAGTCATATTCCGCTCCCTTCTCTTCTGTGTCTCTCCGTATCCCTCCCTCCAACCCCATTCTTTGACGAAGTCCCATAAAGGAACCTAGGGTAAGGATGTCTCCCTAGACCCACTGCGAGTACATGAACTTGAGCTTAAAGGTTCAGAGTGGTAGGTGTACCCCCTTAAAATGGCCCCTGTTCTAGAAAACCTCTCCTTCCCAGTAATGTAGTCATGGAAGTGGCATTTTAGAAATGGAACACTGGCATTTACACCCAACCCCAGGTCCCTCTTTTGCTGCCTCGTTGCAGGGTGAAGCACCAGCAAATGCTCTTATTAGCCCCGCAAACACCTAATGACTTCAAAGATAGAGAAGCCCTCCTCCTTTGCTAAATGCACCCCTTTGTGCACATGTATCGGTATGCAAGAAAGAGATTGAAAGAGAGGTGTCCAAACGCTCCCTTTGGCTCAGATCTCTGTCTTTTTTTCTCCTCTGATTTTTTTTTAGTTCGTTTTCTATGGAAACGAGCCCACTTAAATTCCTCACTTATGCAAATAAAAGCAAAATGATCTTCATAAACCTCATTGGAGAGACGCCGCGGTAGCCTGGGCTCCCGACTGGAGATTGATGTCTGATTCACACAGCACACGTCCTTGGAGGGTGACTTTTCTAAACTTGCAGGACCTCGCAGCGTCCCTGGCCCCACCACTTCTCCAACCTGCCCACCACCTGCCCTCCTGGGTCCCTTCGCCCAAGCTCCCGCCCGTTGCCTGTCGCTCTCCATCCCTGCGCGGGGGGAGGGGCCCGGGAGGTCTCCTACCTCGGCGGCGACTCGGGAGCCGAAAGAAAGAAACGCG